TTGCAAATATATTAAAATAGTTTATATAACAGTCATTAAATAATACTTTCAATATATTTATAAATAGCAAGTACATAAAATTTATGGTGTGTTCAAATTTAAATAATTATTTATTGGCTCAATTTTAAATCATCCAAACATTTGGTCAAACACATATGTGTGTTCAAATTTAAATCATTGACATTTTGTTCGGTTGAAATTTAAATCATCTACCATGGTACTGTGATGTGTATAATATATATATATTATATATATATAATTTTTTAACAAATAATATGTGATTTATAAAAATAATAATAATATAATAATAATTTCACAAGATTTTAAACGTAAAATCTGATTTTAATCACAATAGAAAATATGGTAAATTGTATTGAAAGATGTTATGGGATAAAACAATTAAGTAAAATAATTAGATAAAATATTTGATAGAAATATAATGCATTAATTACCTTTAGTTTTTTTCTTACTAATAATTCTAGTAAATAGAACGATTTTTTATATAAGTATAGATTAGCTGAAAAATTAAAAAACACAAATTGGAGGCGTAACATTGTGCTGTATTGATCACGCCACATTACAAAAATTGGACCTAAACAAATCAAATGGCATTATTGGGATGCATTTCCTCAAATGTTTCATAATTATAACTTTTTACCTAATTATGTGGAAAAAAATGCAATCACTTGGTTAAACAATTCAATAGCTCGTAATTCCAAATTTTCATCAAAATTATATTATTGCGGTTTCATATATTATATTCAATTCACACATTAAGTTCAACTTCTAAAATTAGTAGCTCCAATTAATTTACGGAATATGCTACGGTCCCGTTACGGAACCATTCCCTCGGGGTTCGTAATCGTTAGATCAACTATATCTAACGGTTACATGATGATCTAACAGTTACAATTCCAGATCTGACGGTTACATGATGATCTAAGAGTTACAATTCCCAACAGAATAATTCCGTAATTGGACCTTAGCAATTCCCTTAATTTACATACACATATGAATTTATTTGCCAAATTAGTAGTACGTTATTTCCATTTAAATGAAATAACTAAAATTCAGTCATTAGTATCATAATTACCATATATGACTTTGTAACAGCAATTAAAAATCGTGATTGGTAGAATTTTACTCAGACAATATAAAATAATTATATACTTTTTGACAAATTTGGTTTCACCTTTTTTTTTTTTTTTGGTACATGGACCTTTCGGTTTCCGGATCCACATGGGAACCGACTAATCCGAAATCGAGCCGGGTAAGGTCGAATAATAATAATAAATAAATAAATAAATTAAAAAAAAAACGCACGAAAAAAAGATAGTGAAGAAAAACCAAACACAGGATTGAAAATTCATACAGTTAGAATAAAAGATGATATTTTTTTGTTTATTTTTATAGAAATTTAAATGTCCTGCCAAAGCTCGTAAAAATGGCAGAGCTCCACCAGGCTGTATACGACGGCCGGACCCATCAGCCGCCGATACGCCGCCACTGAAATTCATTTAGCTCCTTTTATCCTTTTCGCTGTTAAGCTCTGTTAATTCGATTTTGTTTTAAATCTTTTCGATTTGATCCGTGGTTGGTGGAAACTGGAAACGAATCATGGAGGAGACTGTGTTGTGCCAGTGGGGTGTGATTCGATCCATACTGTCTATTGTCCAGTGGTGGAGTTTCAATGTCACTGTTATCATCATGAACAAATGGATCTTTCAGGTGGGGATTTGTTATACCCAGTTTTTGGTTAATCAATGATGTTCGTGTTCATTGCATTATTCGGTGTCTGTCACTGTAGGTGTTTGTTTCTTCAGGATTTGGAGAGTGTTGATTATATGTAGTTTAGATTGTGATTCTTGTTGGTGGGTTTCTGTTATTGGAAATTTAGGAGAAAATATATGTGGTGTTTGGCAGATTTGGGTATCGAATTTTTGTTTCATGATGTTGCTGATACTGATTATATTGGTCACTTTTTATCCAGTAAGAAGCAAAGGTTATGTTATATATGCTGCTTATTGGATCAGCTGAGGTCGGTATTAGAAAAGAGCAGATTTTATCAGAATTGTTAGCTTCAGACTGAGTTATGGGAGCTCATATATGTATCTGCTGCGGTTTCTTGAGATTTTGTCCATGGATAAATGTGATGCATTATGGGGCTATGCTTTATCTCTTGTTCTTGTAGTGTTGTAATCTGTGATTGGAATCTTTCTACTGGTGAGGGTCGATGAATGATAAGAAATGCTCTTCTGGTTACTCTAGTTTAGTGTATTTTTCACATGGATCCATATTTTAGCATTTAAATTTCGTCTCGAATTGGTTCGAAATGTGATCCCTTTTTATAAGTGCAGTGGTAGATGATAAAGTGATCAAGTTTATGATTATGTTACTATTTTCCATCAGTATTTTATTAACATTGATTATCTTGTTTGATTTTGTTTGTTATTGTTTACGGAGTGTTTCCCCTTTTTCTTTGTTAATTTTCATCTACGGAAACTGGATTTCAAGTTTCTTTGTCGGGTCTTCTGTATTCTATTATCCACCGATCTTTCATTAGAATTAATTATCTTGTATGATTTTGTTTATTATTGTTAACGAAGCTTCTCGTGTATTTACTTTTTTTTCCCTTTTACAGAAACTGGATTTCAAGTTTCCATTGTCAGTCTCGTGTATCCATTTTATTTCTTCTTCAATCGGTGCATACTTGGTTATTAAAGTGCTAAAACTCAAGCCTCTTATTCATGTTGATCCTGAAGATCGATGGAGGAGAATTTTCCCCATGTCATTTATATTTTGTATAAACATTGTTCTGGGAAATGTGAGCCTTCGGTATATTCCTGTTTCTTTCATGCAAACCATCAAGTCTTTCACCCCAGCAACAACAGGTAAGATTTTTTGAGTTTGAAAAAGGGAAAAAATAGTCGTGGAAAGTAATTTATGTACAGTTATATGATACTTAAATTGAGAGTTCTCTATTTGTGCCTAAATTCAATGATTCTGTTTCTTCTTATAGATTGTGGGGATAATTAAAAGAACTACTAGTGAGGTTGGGCTCAATTACGAAAATTCTAGCCATGATTAAAAATTGCAAATACTCCTCTTGAGGTGTTGTAGAAGTTCCTATGTACTTAATAGGTACCTTCTCCCTCGAGGATTAATTTTTAAAAGATAAATGATATAAGTGGGGTATTTTAATTCTGGAAAATTATTATCTCCTCTTGTCATTATACTAAAGATCAGAAGTTTGTATTCTAGTTAACCGTGAATGTTACTCAGCAAACAACTTATTTCGCCATTGTTCGTTTTTGTGTGATGATGTCATTGATAACATACTCAATATCTTCATTGCTTTTGATAACAGTCATCTTGCAGTGGCTAATCTGGAAAAAATATTTCGACTGGCGTATTTGGGCTTCTTTAATTCCCATTGTTGGAGGGATTTTAGTCACCTCTATCACAGAGCTTAGTTTTAACATGTTTGGGTTTTGTGCTGCTTTATTTGGCTGCCTTGCTACTTCCACAAAAACCATTCTAGCAGAGTCTCTGTTACATGGATACAAATTCGACAGGTAACGGCCGCTCTTCTTTATTTTTTGTAATAAAACCTGTCAAAACTTGCTGTCCTTCCTTTTTTTTATTTTTTATTTTTTGTTGAAGAGAGAGGATTGAAATGTTTATTTGGTCTTACTAATATCCTAATGCAACAAATTCTGCAAATTTGTATCACAATATGTTGCAAACCTCATTTGGATAAGTGGCTTGATTTCAATGTGCTCGATGGAGTTGACCCAGTTGTTCTCTCACACTTTTGTTTGACTCATAGAATATCTGTCATGATGTTCGTGTATATGATAGGTTGTTAATAATATGATATCCATATAAACATGTTGAAATCGTAATATATCCATTCTTGATTAAGCTTCGAATCCCACCTTTTTAAAAATCTTTATTTTACTAATGAAATTGGTTTTACATTTCGAGCTGAGTGCAGTATAAACACGGTATACTACATGGCACCGCTTGCGACTATGATCTTGGCTGTACCAGCTATGCTACTCGAGGGTGCAGGGGTTATGGTGTGGATCCAAACGTGCCCTTCACTTATTTCATCCCTCATCATCATATTCGGGTCTGGGGTTTTGGCCTTTTGCCTCAACTTCTCTATTTTCTACGTCATTCACTCCACGACAGCTGTGACCTTCAACGTTGCGGGAAATCTTAAGGTGCGCAAGTCTCTAGCCCTAGTGAAGATAGTCAAGTTTATTCTTTTTCGAAAAGTTTCCTTTGTTTCTCATAACAATATTAATGTGAACTGAAGTAGACTATGTTAAGTAGACATGATAAACTCGATGATAGCTTATAAGTGAATTTCGCGCTTATAGCTAATGGTTTATGGCTGATAAACTAATTGATATGATAAATGTGTTTTGGTAAAATTAGAAGGTTTGAAATAAAAATTTCAACGGGCTTATTAGAAAAGCTACCCAATAAAGCTTATGACTAATCTAAAGCTTTGTGAAAAGCTCATCTTACTAAACCGAGCTTATTTGTATACAAAAAAGTTTATAAGTTAACCGAATAAGTAGCGTATAGTGCTTGCCAAACCAAACACACTCATAATCTCTATATTTTCATCTCAGGTTGCAGTTGCCGTCACGTGTTCATGGCTTATTTTTCGAAACCCAATTTCCATAATGAATGCCATTGGGTGTGGTATAACACTCGTCGGGTGTACCTTTTATGGATACGTGAGGCACTTTTTGTCGAGCCAAGCCATGGGAACCCCTCGGACTCCACGAACTCCTCATACTCCACGAACCCCTCATACTCCCCGAACTCCTCTTACGCCCCGGACCCCACGGGCCAAAATGGAACTGATTCCATTAATTAACGACAAACTAGAAGATAAAGTATGACTCCTTGCGTAAATCTTCGCCAAGTTAGCCAAAGGTAAATTGGTGGATTGATTTAGAATGAAAGAAAAGGGTAGATACTTTGTTGGTTTCTAGCAAGAGATTCATCCTTACTGATTGAAATATGTTACAGTATGTTACAGTCTTTCTTTTAGCCCCTAATATTATCATTGTTATAGATATTATTTATCAGCAGCAATGGCCAAGATTGGTTGGCTAGGATTATTTGCAACATCACTCTTGAGCTTTAGTTTAATACTTTAACTACAAAAAATTATTGTTAGCTTTCATAATCCCAGTGGTATCTCCATTGAAGAGATTACAGTTTCAGACTCACTAGTTTGAGAAGGTACTTTAGTTGCTGTGTATTTTTTTATTTTATTATTATTATTATTATTATTATTATTATTATTATTATTATTATTATTATTATTATTATTATTATTATTTATTTATTTATTTATTTATTTTGCATTTCACGTAGATTTTTGGTTAAGTAATCGTAAATTAATCAGTGCTGTGAATAGAGGTGGGGTCAAAATCCGTTTGGGCTGTGTCATATTGAAAGGCTAAAGTCCACTCCATGAATAATATTTTTAGAAAATTTTGAGGTTGGGCCATTTGGGCTATTATATAACATCTCCGTGGTTGAGGTGGATTGAAAATTAAATATACATTCTTCTATAGATCGAATAGAATGACTTGTTGATAAGTAACTCTCAAATGTCTACATTACGATAAAAGTTTATACACGTGTTTTTTTTTTTTTTTTTTTTTTTTTTTTGTTTCTAACAAAAATATTTAACCAATTGTTTTTTTTTTTTTTTTTTTTTTTTTTTTTTTTTTTTTTTTTTGTCGTTGCATGTTTCTAACAAAAGTATATAACTAATTGGTATTCATCTGGTATTTGTATTTTTTATTTTTTTTTTGTATTCATCTGTTAAATTTGATTTTGTATTCATATATTCATTTTTCTTACCAATAAACTGCGCTTATTGCAACCTTATATTCCATTTTTACCAAATTAAATTGGCAGCAATGATGCACATAAGCATAAACTGTAGGTTTTAAATTTTAATTAAATAATAGCAAATATTTCAGCACAATAATTCAAATGAAAAGTAATTATATTGGCACACAATTTATTTATGAAAGATGGGTATAGGTAAGAATTTAATGGATGAAAAATGACAATATATAATGAATATTTACTGCAGCAGTACAGTAATAAATTAAATTCGGCCCACAGAAAATATGCAATTATAGCCATACTGGCCCAAATCCAGAAAATACGATGCTCAGCAACCTGTTTAGATTCAAACACCATACCAAAACTAAAACAAAAACTAAAGCTACCCATTTCAAAAGGATGTACAATCTGAGAAGATGGATAATGTTCTGTACAGTGGTGGTACTCAGTGAACAGTTCTCATGCAATAACACAAAACAATTAACAATTCCCAAAACTACAATTTATATGTAAAGAGCCCTCCCCTGTAAACTCCAGGGTTTTTCTTTTTTAACCAAAGTTCTGGCTTTGCAAACAAAAGACCATACAATCCACCCTCAAAAAAAAAAAAAAAAAGGCTACACTTTCCCTCGAAATGCAGCTGTGGTACTTCTCAAGATCCGTTTCGTCACATCACCGTCCAAATTCTCATGTCTATCGCCATTTTCAATTTTCCCGTTTTCCGTCGAAGGCCCATTTGGACAAGCATCAGTTTCCTCTGCAGATTGGCTCGTTTCAAGACTGCCATTGATAGTACTATTATCATTATCTTTGGGTGAATCGAGGTGGCCAAGACTATCGCTGATTTCAGACAACTCGCCATTATTGATGGGGCCCACTTTGATATCTGCCTTGTCTGATGAGTTGGCCGGCACGGTTTCACCAGATTCAGCTATTGATATTGTCTCATTATTATGATTTTCAACGTCAGCAGAATTACCTGCTACACCACCATCATCCTCCACTTGATTTTCTCGAGTATTTTCATTGCAAGTTTGGGGTTCAGTCGACTGTTCGGCAAATTTGGCGTTCACTGGCCCATCTTTAGTATCTGCCTCGTCTGCTAATAAGTTGACAGGCTCCATAACAGCAGCTTTCTCGATATTATGATTTTCAATGTTGGAAGAGTTACCTGCACTTGGTTCAGCTACACCAGCTTCATCATCTTCCACTTGATTTTCTCGAGTATTTTCATTGCAAGTTTGAGGTTCAGTGGACTGTTCGGCTGATTTTTCGTTCACTGTCCCATCTTTGGTATCTGCCTCGTCTGCTAAGTTGACGGGCTCAATAACAGCAGCTTTCTCGATATTATGATTTTCAATGTTGGAAGAGTTACCTGCACTTGGTTCAGCTACACCAGCTTCATCATCTTCCACTTGATTTTCTCGAGTATTTTGATTGCAAGTTTGAGGTTCAGTGGACTGTTCGGCTGATTTTTCGTTCACTGCCCCATCTTTGGTATCTGCCTCGTCTGCTAAGTTGACGGGCTCAATGACAGCCGCTTTATCGATAATATTATGATTTTCAACATCAGCAGAAGTATCCTCGACTTCCTCTTCTCGAGCATATTCATTGCAAGTTTGAGCTTCAGTGGACTGCACCACAGCTGATTCGGCGTTGTCTTGTGTGTTTTGATCCTCCTTGGGTTTTACTTCAGAGTAGCACTCTATTAATAGAAGATGATAATTTGCAAAGACATATTAATAAATAAATGAGAATAATAAAAACCGAAAGTTCGCTAGAGAGAGAAAGGGAGAGAGATTTTAATGAAAATACCGGCAGATTCCATATGTTCTTGATGATTCATCTTCAGGGGTTTTTGTAACATGTCTACCCCTGGGAACACAATCATGCTCATGTGTGCCATTTCTTTCCGAGTCGACTCCTCAAGAGGACCGAAACCAAATATTTTTGTCCATGTCTCGTTAAGTTCGGATATTGCGGGAATCACCAGTTTCTCAACACCAAGTGAGCAGAGCAACTGAGAAGATTTACATGAGAAAAAAAAAAAAAAATCACTGAAACAAACACAAAAGGACTTGCAAGACTGTCCGAGCAGCAGAACTCGATTCCGACTAAAATTTCCAACTCAGCAACATGTGATGATACATAAAATTTCCAAGCATACCTTTTCAATCGAAGATAGAAGCCTGCCGCACATCCCTTGACGGCGGTACATAAATCGGGTTCCTATAAAAGGCATCTCGGCTAGCTGACTCCCGTGAATTCTGCTCTCGAGATCAAAATGGAAATTTGTCAGACTCATTCGACAAGCACAGGCCATTAAGTATATCCGAAGATAAGATTATATCCTAAAAAAAGCATTTCATAGGGGAGTTGATACATAGAAAGAATTTAGAAAAAAGTAATCAAGCAAATTATTAATGACATCATAAGTTCAATATCGGCATTTAATGTTTGCATATAGGATCTGACCATTAGTTTTCATCACCGCACAGGGACAGGATAAATGTTTTGGGAAGTAAATATACATATTGGGAGAAAAAAAACTTTTAGACAAACATCAGATTAACTAATTACACAATCAAAAGACTGAATGGAAAAGAAAAAGATAAATGATAAACAAAGTTATTACCAAAAGAGCTAGATAAGAAGATAGAACCCAAAAGGTACCAGATTATCAGCGAAAAATACAATTTTCAAGTAAGATTCTTGGTATGATGGTAAAATGATCTTGCAGCATATATCAACATATTTCCCACCATATAAAGTGCATTGGGTAGAAATTTATTTCTTTACATGCAATACACGGGGATGTGTCTAGCAAAGAACACGGTTAACAACGTCATAAATGACCTATAATTAACACCATAATGACATCCAGAACAACATTAAAAATAACAACCTTATCGATGCTGCTGCTACGGCTTCGTCACCCTTCTCTAGTAAAATGGTATAAAATCCATCGTAGTTCAACCGTCTAATATTTGACCTAGAAGAAGAAAACAAAAAAAGTGGCTGAGTGATCAATTTTATCTGTAAGATTTACAGGTAAAGATCAACAGATCAACCAGCGAAAACAATATATCTAAACAGGCTGTTTGTTTAGCATAAGCAAGGCCATATATTTTGGAAAAATACAGACTTCAAATGCATAAATCTTATAAATGCCGCATTTTTATCATTACCGTGACTTAATAGAAGAATATATCATCACGCACATGAAAATTTGTAACTGCCATAATTAACTGCTTGTAAATTTAATCCTTTTTTTTTGTAAATAAAACCAAAGCAATCTCAAAGAGGAACGTGACTACTTTAGAAGGTTATCAAATTGACATAACCAACCAGCAAATATAAAGCAACTGAAATGTGCTTACCCACAGCTGTAGACAACATTGTGAATCATATTGGTTCCACTTCGCTCATCTATGATAGGTTCAAAACATTCATCCATGACTAAGAAACCAACAGCTAACTTAGCATTGCTTTCTACCTTTGAGGAGTCACCATCTAGAGCTGCATCACCACTTACAATATGATGTAGAGTATAGGAAAATCCTTCGCCAAGGTCATGTTTAACACCAAGAAGAATCTGTAACTGCTCAAATATCTGTCGATAAAATGTAGTAGACATGTCAGCACAGAAATAATTACAAGGCCCGAAAGCAGGGATGGCTAGAAATCTAAAATTAAATGGGTAAGAGGTGGAACATGACAAGTCAAGTCAATCCAAAATTTTTGGTTAGAAGAGAAAAAATCTCATTTAATAGCTAGTGGAAATACCTCGTAGCACCTTTTCCCACAGAAGGAACTATTTCCATGGTCAAAATCTTCAGCAATGGTTCCTTCAATACAATGCATGTGATCTGCGTAAATTTTGTATCAATCAGACCACCAGCTTATATGATTAATAAAGATATTATTTCACCAAATTTAATAGAGAACTCAGAACTGGAGCAACAAGATTCAAGCTCACATTTTTCCTCGCAAAAACGGCATGTAAACAACTCAGAAAATAAACTGCTTTCCTCATCACTGTCTGACATACTCTCACAGGCCAGTCCACAGAATTTGCATGAACAATAAACGCAGTGCCAGTCTCCAGAAGGAACCTGCAGTAGCAAACTTGATGAGTATGTATATCAGGTTAATTTTGGAAGCATATAATATCCCAACACGAGCAAACAAAAGGTAACAACCATTTAATCCTCCGATGACAATTTACTATGAAAATCATCTAAATAATGACAAGGCAATCACACATATGACATATCTAATGATTTCCTTTTACGACTGATCAATGCCAAAGTAAATTGCATTCATGTAACAAATTCAAGAAAATGTAAACAGTTCACTCAAGTGCCTATGCATCAGCTTGGGTGAAAAGAATGCCAACCAGTATCTATTTTTCAGAACCAAAAGGAGAGGAAATCATATAGTTATAAAACACATTTTGGAGCTAATCTATGAAGAAGAAATGCTTCAAATTAGCAATCTGGATAGTTAAGAACTGTGATTGTAAGCACGTGCAGAATCAAGTTCAAAGTGATCATGCAAACATCGAAATTAGAAGTTACTATCAGAGGACGAAGCACATCATAAAACTGAAGCGTGATGAAAGTACTGCTTACATACTTCAATACATAAGCAGTCATCATGGAAAGTTGACGGACAACTATCACAACAAATCAAGTCACCGCCATCACCACACACATTGCACGTGTCGTCATTGGGATCATCACCTTCCACATCCACATGAACAAATCCAATGTTACCTTTATTCACGTGTTTTTTCCAGGTATCCACCAAGCACTGGAAAAGTGAAACCCCAGAATCCAGATATATATCCTCATACAAGTTTCCATTTATACTTTCAGCATGTGACACAAATTCCCGAACCCCATGTGTTCGTTTGCAAAGGTCACAACAGATCCCTTCCTTCATAATCCTCCCCTCAGGCAACTTATTTCTGCTCCTTCCTCTCTTGTACTTCACCTTCCCGCCAAGAGGAACCGTACCCAAATCAATCATCCACGAGAGCAGATTCCGATTTCCCTCATACACATTGACACCGCCATCCGAACCATCCTTATGTTTACGAGCCAACAAGGTCCGTTGGCTGCCTTTATTCAGTCTTGATTTAGTCCCTCCATCTGATGATTTCCGTTTGGATGACTCCTTTCTCATCTTTGTCTTAATAGTCTTTCCTTCACCATTCTTCTTTTTACCCGCCTTCTTGCCTTGGTTGGTGATTCTGAAAAGAAGGCTAAAGGTCTCCTCTGGTATAGGAGAAAATACTGATATCTCTTCCTCATGTGCCTTTCCCTCATCAATCCTTTCTTTAAATTTCCTGTAAGCCAATGTGCACGACCAGTAAGTCTTTCCAAACCGATCGACATAAACGGCATCCTGATAGTCTTTGGATTGCCTCTGCCTGTATTGAACGGTCCATCCCGCCTTCGTAATCATGGACACTATTTGATCCCGAACGACCTGCTTCTGCTCCCGAAGACCCATCTCATTACCTTGAGCAGGCCTAGGCATTCTCTTTTCTTTCTTCATAACAACATTATCCGACTCATTCGTATTGGCATTTTCATTCCTCGCCAGTCGATTCTGTTTCTTAACACCTGTTTCGTTGCATTCAGAAAGCTCGTCTGTCCCTTCTTCCTTCTGCAAGGCGCCGTTCAACGTATCATCCGTGCTAACTTTCAATCTCTTCACGGGGCCCGCATCATCATCACTCGTCTTCACGATCTTCTTCTCAATTTTTAAACCCATATCCCCATTCTCCATCTTGCGAGGCCTTCCTAATTTCCCCTTCACTTTCAACCTCCCTCGACCTCGGACAGGCTTATTACTACTCGCACCCACCTTCTTCAACCCCATTGCCTCGTCCTCTTCCTTTGAATTACCCTCGGATTTACCATTTTTGGGAGGCCTACCCCTCTTTCTCTTCTCTCCTGTGCCCCCCAACGAGGATACCTCACATTTACTCTCTGTTTTCCGCGGCCTTCCTCGTTTACCTTTCCTCTTCCTTTTCGGAGAAACGGGAACCTCGCTTTCACTTTCAGACTCCGCTAAATCCACTCGACTTTTGTCTGTATCATCCGATTTCACTGTTTCCACCACCTCCGTACGCACTGCCCTCGACCTCAAAACCCTACCGCTCTTGGGTAACCCATCAGAACCCTCATCCCCTTTCTCAGTCAAATCAATATCCTTTTCAACCCTTTTCCGTTTTTTATCAACGGGCACCTTGTTCAGATCAAACAACTCGTCTTCAATCTCTCCGCCTTCTGCCATCATTCATCAAATACACCAAAAACCTGCGAGAGATTATCGAATGGAACAATAATGTAACCATGGAAAAACCCACCAAAAAAAAACCAAAAAAAAAAACAAAGGGAACAAGAAGACGCAAATGCGAAACGTAAAATTAACTCCTTTTAGCAATATATTAGGGAAAAAAAATGAGAAATGGAGACGAATCATACCAACGGCGGAGCAGATTTGTGCGAGCAAATCGTGATCTAGGTGATACGTATAAAGGCGTTGTATGTATATGTAATCCACAGACTGTGTGTAGCTTCTGCAGAGAAGGCGAGAGAAAGAGGGTTTTGTTACATTTTACAGTGATTTTTAAGGAGATTTTGGGAGAGGGTTTATTTTTTATCTTTTTTTTTTTATTTTGAAAAAAAAAAAAAATGCTCTTTGGAATTAGAACGGGGGCAAAATTGTAATTTAAATATGTGGAGAGATTAGCTAAATTTTCCCTCCATTATTTGGTATTGGTGTCACTAAAATTAAAATTTGAATATTACAACAAGGTTGACCCTTTTTCTGACACATTCTATATATCTCTTTATTTATTTATTTCATTTAGAGATAATTATTTATCAACTCAATAAAAAAAAAATCAATCAAAAATTTGGATTTAACTTAACTTTAACACAACTCCACTGTCTCCTTAAAACAAGCATTGGTTGAAATTTAATAATGGTGTTATGATTTATGATTCATATAATTGTTATATAATCTCATATTTGACTATTATGGCCATAATTTGAGGTCATATAGAAAAACATAAATCCACAATTAAGATCACATTATCTGTTGGATAAATTACATAAATGTTTTACTTGGGAGCATAATGACATGCTCTTCATTTCTTTTTCCCTTTTCACAAATTGTTTACTTTTTCATTTGAGTTGAATTTCAAATTTAAGTAGGTTCATTGACTTAAATGGATTAAAATGTATATCATTCCATTTTTATATATAAATGTATAATGTTCATGCATCGAGTGTAAATTCTATTGTTTGGTAATCTCATTTGTCGATATGTGAAGATTCATATCTCTCTTATACTTACAAGGGAAAATGTCTTCCCTTTGTATGACGCCACGTGGCACATTTCTTTATGGACTGACATATGTACAATGTGTATTTAATGTCAATATACTATTGTGAATAACTATGGATGACTCAACAAGTCGAGTCATCCGATTAGCTCCATAGCAAAACCGTTGAAATTGAGTTTCATTTTGTTTATTTCCTTGATTTGTTATGCTGCCAAAAAGATTAATGATGTTGTAAATAGTACACTGTGCTATGAAAATGAGAAAATGACTGTCTGTCTCAATTGATTGAGTTTGCTTTTCTCACGAGGCACGAATTATTTGATTCCATACTTTAAGATAGAATCACAGGAATAAGAATACTATCTTCCACTTTCATTGTTCATTCCCTTCAATACATGACATAACATATACATATATAAAGCGTGATTTTATAATTTAATGTTGTATTCCATTTCGTATTCTATTCAATTGATGAAAGACAAATATAAATATAATTCATATATGTACACGTGTCATTCATGCAATGAAAGAAAACACGAGTGTCATTAACGAAGCACGACATGGTATATGTATAACACATAGAAGATTCGATCTCGTATAAATATGACATCATCATGTATACATCTCATCCACCCGAAAATTTTCAAACGATCCCATGAACCGAATTATAATTTCCCCTATCAGGATTTGTGCAAGTACAAAATCCTCAAGGCCTTTCAAGACATGTATTTTCACAAATCAAGACAGGTAAGGTATTTCTAGTTTGCAGCATTCAAAGACTGACGTACATTCGAAAACAACTTTAAAGGGAGAACTAATTCAGTTACTTAAGGGATAAAAAGGCTGTTATTCTCTCTTCAATTTACTGTATACTGCAATTAGGTAATCTATATGAGCTTCTTCTTCTGGAAATACTGCCTCAAGTAGAATACCTGAATAACCGAAACAAAAATGCATAATCCGAGCGACATTATACTATACCATGCGACCTGAGCATTAGTAGTTTCACTAACCATTCTCATCTCGGCTTCCCTGCAATAGCAAAATCAAGGAAATAATAAAAGAATTAAAATGAATGTAACTTTTTTTATTTAGTTTGATTGCTAATTAAATTTACCTTTTTATCAGATTATTTAAGTTTAGATGGATTGATTCCACATGTTCTTCAAGCTTTTTCAACACGAGCTCAAGCCCCTACAATATACACACAACGTAAAACCCACAAATAATAAGAGAAGGCAAACAAAAATAAATACAATAAAAACCAATACTGGAAAGAAGAAAGGCCAAAACTTGCCTCGATTTTTTCCTTCTTTGCAACTGAATCCCAATCCTTAGCAGCAATGCCGGTTTTCCACTCGATACCAACTGTCACTTTCTTACCGTGATGATCACCATCCAATGAAAAGCATGCCATATAGTTTCCCATCTCGGTCGTTGTAAATGCAAACTGGCCATGTTGGACTTTTTCTTTATGATAGAGGTCATTTCCATATGGTGATGTAACCTTAAGAAAGATATGTAATGGAATTAGCTTAAACTCAAAAGACTTACAAGACACGAGCAAAAGCAAAGAAAGAGTTGCCAAAGCTGGAAAGATTTTCTTTAATATTTTTCTGCACATAATTGGTAATTTATTCTACTGTAATTTTAGTTCAAATATGTTTGATTTCATCAGTGCACGAACCAAATGAGCAATCGTCCGTTAGTACATGCATGATTATGTTCAGATTTGAATATTGCCATGTAACTGGGTTTGAACAGTTAGACCAGCCGGCTTTTTACGAGAGAACATAGCAATAAAATTGATTTTTTTTTTTCTTTCTTTTCCCAATGTCTTTAGGTTAGTCATTGTGAGAATCTATAACAGAGCAAATTGTAGTTCTTCCAATCATTGAAGTTTTTTCACGTAAACCTCTAACCACCAAACAAAACAATGAAAGAAGCATTTGGAAAAGAATGTTTCAATATTCTTGAATGCACAATTCTTCAATTGGCTATTTTACCAGGTAGTCGTTTCAATAACAAATTTCCAGTGATTATAACACTGCAAAAAGTGATTGTCGGCATATAAAAATTTACATTCTGTGTTTGCAAATATACCATCATGTGCTACGTTTAATCACAATCGAAATGCACTCGGTTCACAAGCAACCCCATTGTTAAATCGACTAATTTTCAACTTATGTTTGCAAATATAGTCAACTTGTAACTTCACATACTCGTTTGATTTGCAACAATGAATCAATTCCGATAAAATGCACAAGCGTCACAACCAATTTATATACAAATTCTATTAAATCCCAGTACTCAACTACTTGCCACAAGTAAAATTTCCCAACAAAAGAACAGAAACATTTGCAAAACACGAATACACAAACAAAAAAACTGAAGATT